ACTACAACAACTATGACCCCTATGCAGATATGACCCCTACTTCGACAGGTCTAAGGTTCAAGACCCAACAACTACTCAGACCTACGACAGACAACTTTCAACTACTAACACATAGGTCATGGGTTCAAGACACACAGGTTCGACTTGATACTGTACACAGGTAAGGTAAGGTAAGGTTTGGGGATCGAGCCGTGGGATCTGCATCTGTGACTGCAAAAGGTGAAAACCGTTTCAAAGGAGGCAAATCCACACAAAACCGGAGAGAATTGAAAAACGAATTTCAATTCTGTAATCCCCTGTCCTCCTCCAATCAAGCCAGAGTACTTGTTCCGAGAATCACAACCGCGTTTACAACAACCCCTAACAACCAAAAACAAGTGTTCAACGAAGTATGCAGGAGTCTTCTTCTTCCTCCTCGCCACCTCGTACCCCTGGCTATGGCTGCCATAGCAGCAGTAACCCCACAGCTGTCACAACGTGCCAATCTGAACCAACTACCCCAATGATAGCAGCACCCACTCAGCGCCCGCACGGAAGTGCAGCGCTGGAAGTCCTGATGAAGAAGGAGACGACGGATCCAGCACTTAAAGAAGCTGAAGTTCCTCGTGAGGAGGAACACCAGATATGGCTGCCAAGTGGAGAATGGCAGCGCCCGAACCCAACAACACAGTCCTGTGGAAGCTTTCGTGCAGAGCTGCTAAATAGCAGCAGTGCGATCTTCAGTTTCGTTTCCCAGCCCCAGCTATGGCTGGGCTTCGAGGAAGAAGATGCCCTCCAGCAACGGACGGGCAGAGTTTCCCCAGCAAAACGTGATGTAAAAGACCCGAAAATCAATTTCCTGCCTGCTACTTCTACTCCCGGACTAGACCTACGAGAGCAACCTACGACTCCCCTGTACCTACCCAGGAAACGGGAAAAGGGGGACCCAGACCTACGACAGGGCACAAGATAAAGGCCGAATGGCCTAAGACTACCGAACAGAGATCATGAGTGGCAGACTCAGGGATCAAGTCCCAGAGGACGCAACACTCGCAAACAAAACACACACAAGTTACAAGTCACGGGATAAAGTCCCGCAATGCTCAAAACGAGCAAACAGCAGGCAAACAGGCAACACAAAGGTTGCGGGATCAAGTCCCGACAACGACAACTTGTAGCACTGCAATTCATTACATAGCAATGTGTAGTGTTGCATAGAGTAACGAGGTGACAGAAGTAGGGTGTCGTGGTCACATTCATTTCTGCCCGATCTTGTGGCCAGGTTGCCATGCAGCACGGTCACCTGTGTGTGCGTAGCTCCCTGGGTGGTGCCGTGTGTACAGAGCGAGAGAGAGAGAGAGAGAGAGAGAGAGAGAGAGAGAGAGAGAGAGATCAGTAATGTTTGTTTCTGAAACCCATTGTCATGTACGTTGTTGTGAGCCTGTTACTGAAGAAGGCCCTGCAATAATAACTGGTTGTGGCTTTTTTTCCCTTATTGTTTCTTCCTCCCCTGTCCCGCTGATTGTTTGTGGCAGATGATCGTGGGTGGCCTGAACAGCTTAGAGGGCGTCACATGCAACGATGCAGAAGGGGCCATGTATGTGTTCCCACAGATCCACTTCTCAGAGAAGGCGAAGAAAGCTGCAGCAGATGCAGGTGTAAAGGTTGATGCGTTCTACTGTACAAAGTTGCTGGATGCCACTGGTGTTGTGGTTGTCCCCGGGTCTGGTTTTGGCCAGGTAAGCCCACCTTCCCAGGTGAAGCATCCTCTGACCTAAGGCTCTTTCTTGCATTCGTCTCTATTTTTGCATTCAGTGAAGTATTCTCCAATTTAGTTGTTCCTACATTCTCAAGACAACCTTGTGGAGTTCCTTCACCTTTCAGCACAGTGGATGGCCCGAGCTTGTCAGTAGTGTGCGCTTGCAATGGATGGCTCTATCACTATGCCTTCAGTGTAATGGTTGCTCAATGGCATCTGGAAAAGCTAAGAATTCCTTGAACTGTCCTCACTTTCTGGACAGTGTAGATGCCTGCATGGAGATGTACACAATGGCAGGCCCTTATGGTTTTCTGAAGCGCCATCCAGAAAACATGTGGTTCTGATAATCCGTTGGGCATAACTCATCTGCAGTTAAAATAACTTTTTATCAAGTTTTCGATCAATTTATCCCTGTTTTTACGGAGCACCATCTCACAACGAATTTTGACGGGCTTTCTATCCAGTCAATCAAGCCAAGCCAATGCCACTCCCAGCTCGGGACAGCAGCATGTTGGAAAGAGCGGAAGAGGCTCATGCTATTTGGTCTATGTTTATGGATCTGTACCTCTGGGCCTCAGCCCTCCTTCGTGCAAGCACGGACTCGAACTGACGACCTCGGCCTCAAGAGCCAAGTATCTTAGCCACTACGGTCAGGACACGGTGTTCAAAAGTGGAACCATACCGCTCAAGATATCCGCCCGCCCCACCCCTGCAAGGCTGTAGTTTCCAAACTCGCCGCATACCGCACGGACGCTGGCAACTCCTGCACATTTCACTCCAAGTAGCACATGACCTCCATTGGTAGTATTTGGTCTATGGCAATATTTGTGAACACGAAACGTCAATAAGGGCAAGTGGTAACCACTCCACTTCTGTCAATGGCATTGACCTAGGGTGTGGAGGGTTTGCAGGCAGCAGAGCCAAAATGTGAAACTCGTTTTTTTCCCCAAGTTGCTTGGAACTCGGGACTGTGCGAAATTGCCAACGTCGGGGGTGACTGAGGGTTTGAAGTAGTGATTGATGCAAGAAATTACAAAGTGTACCATGGGGAAACCCGAGGTATTGTTCATTGGATCTGCCATTCTTGTTATTATCTTTTTTTGTGATTGAGAACTGGAAAAAAAAAAAACTCGTAGTGTCATTTGTGCGGGTGAAGTGCTGCCAGAACGATTCCCATTGTGAGAAAAATTGAACTCGATGTGCTCCATTCTATTTCACTATTGAGCAAAGGGGGGTGGTCTGGACTAGATGTCTCTCCCGTACCAAAAAAAACGTTGTAGGCCCATAAAAATCATAGTACGCGTTGTCGCACTTTTTCCAGTCCGGCCACTTTGGACGACCGAAAAGCCAACAGGCTGTCACGCAGGATTTTGGTGTTGTTTGCAATCGATTAAATAAATTAATTAAAGCAAATCCCCTCCTGTTGTGTGCGTCCGGCTTCGAGCGAGACCCTTCAATTGCGGTCTTCGCCGGTCCCTGGTCTTAGGAATCTTCTATTTTGATTCGGAACAGCAAAGATTATGCAAATAATAATCGTAAATTTTGGTGTGCCATGCATATGTCAACTTTGCCAATTCACTAATATTGAGAACTACGACAAGATCATCAGAGAAATACAATCATCAAGCGGAGTCAAAGCAAGTGAAGCAGGACTGACTGACTCAAGACAAAGACAAGGTAAATGAGGGACATGGCCAGCACTCGTCAAAAGTCCCCACTCGTCCCTCTTGGGTCACATACTCAAGTCTCTCATTTGGCTGTGTTTCTTGTGCTTCGAGCCATGTCCTCGTACTCCCTGAGATTGTGGCCTCTGGATGTAGAGCATCCTAAAGCCTGCAAGTTCCGAGCACTTTCATCCAAGACCCATGATACGGAAGTCAACCATAGCACAAAATTCCTCCCATAGCGTAGGGAGGTATGGCTGAGAGAAAATCCCTCGCCTGAGATGTCGGAACTCTGATGGTTCAGTCACTGCCTCATAGTCGATCTCTGTTGGAGAAATGTACCTTTTGGCCAACTCCACTAGATCACCCCAGTAAGAACCGTCCAGTAAGAACCGTCGGTGAGGAGAAAGGGGACTGAAGGTCTAGGGTAGTCGGTATAGAGCTTGGGCCCAAAGCTACGGATCACCTTGGTACCACTCTCGTCCTACTCTTTCTCTTTCTCCTCAAGGTGTCTGGCTGCCGAGACCTAGACTGAGTCAAAGTGCTCATGGGTCTCCTTGCCTTTTCTCACATAAGGTCTCAAGTCATGGATGATGCCTTCTGCAAATGCACTATAACATACCGGTACTGAAAGGCATCTTTAGAAGCAATCCGGTTGAGACTGGTCAGAACAGTCTCCTGGACTGAGAATGACCGGACTGCACTCATGTGCTGATGTTGAGCGTTGAAACTGATCTCCGTTCCTCTTGATGAAAGTACTATATGACTGATACTGATCTCTGAGGCAACTGACAATGACTGAATGTTGATTGAATTTAGACTAAAACTTTTGCTGACGCAGACGTTGCTGAAATAACGATCACTGAATGCTGAACACTTGAGAGGATTACATATTGTTGAATGGGACTCGTTAATTGAGGTGCTGGCGGGGATTAGAAGAGAAGAGTTTCAGTTACCATCGTGCTCACCTGAGCTTCGCTCTGGCCTTTTCGATGGTCTCGAAAAAGGAGCCTGTACTGTGCAGTTTACCGGTACGATCACGGATGCAGAAGACGTATTTGATGTACCTCTCTTCTATAATCCTCTAAACTGTCCACTCTCTCAGGGTCTTCTTGTGGACTTCCATATCTCAGAAAATCTCTGCTTCCCATCCTTCGTTCTTGTTTTTACGGATCCCACACTTCATCACCAGAACCTCCACATCGTTCATTGTTCTCTCCCCGTTTTCGTTATCAAGGCCCTGATAGGGTGCTGATATAAGTCTGCAGTTAAGTGCTGATATAAGTCTGTGGCCGAGTGCTGGTGTAAGTCTGTGGTTGAGGGTGGCTCTTAAGTTGTTGTTCTAAGAGAGTGTTGAAGTCCGATAGCTAGATTTTACTTGGGTAAGCCATAGAGGCAATTAGAGCAGTACCATTTAATCTTAGCAGGACGACTGCTGAGTACGAGTCCATGTCGTCGGTTCACGAGCCCGACGTGCGAGCTGAATACCTCGGGAGAGGTTACCTATCTGAAGCAGCCTGAACACTGGTTCGCAACATGCAAGAGGACAGTAATGGACTCGAGTATTGCCTTGACCCGTTTGCCCCCATCTAGCGAGGAACCCATGCCATGCAGCTCGTCAATGTGGTCATGAAATTAAAGCACGCGCTCTGTGCGCTTGTTCTTCCCATATTGAGAGTTGTCGAGATCTGGCTTCCAGTCCTCTCGGTATTCGCTCTCCAGTTCGCTCAACACAACTCTGGTTATCCCAAGGTTATGTAGTGATATCCTGCTAATAAGCCTAGCCAAACACGGTGATAGCTAGCAATGTCGAGCATTGGTCCCACTGGTATTCAGGACTGAGTTGTTATCAGAAATGAGTCCTTTTTGTATAGTATATATAGAGCACCTCAACACATAGCTTTAGTTTGTTCGCTTGGCACATGTTATTTATTTGTTATATTACCCTCTTACCCCAATCCCAACAATCGCTAGTAAGTTATGCAGAGTACCACCGACCGCAACTACAAATCCGTGCACGTTTTCTGCTCCCATACAACTCGGACTACTCTGAAGATGTCCTCCGTTTGTACATGACACGAGACACCTCTCACAAACGGTCTCTGCTCAGGCACAATGCCGTTTAACGTTCATTTTAATTCTCGCCCAACTACAGCACAAGACGCTGCTGAATATCACCTACTGTACACAACACTGGGCTCCGTCATGTAGCATGGTCGACAGGCTTGTTAATCCTGGGTTTGAGGAATACCACATTCTGCCTACTATTTTCTTATAATGGAGCGACTCTTCAGTTTACAAGATCCAAAGTTGGGTAAGCACGAGCAATGTAACAACTTAATAATGATAGACTAGACTCGAGAATCGCGGGGTACGCATGATCTGAAACACGTCCCCCCCTTTTTCCTAGCCCCCTGCTAGTCCGAAAACCATAAGTACAGTCTTGAGATTGCTCGCAACTCGGAACGCTATTTCCAACACTCTCTCTCCGGGGGTCAATCGAAAAGGCGTTTCTTCAGTACATAATATTATCCTGTGAATAACAAGGGAAAGTCTCACATTATCACCCCACCACATCCTGAACACGAGATTTCATTTAGTCACCATCAACCAATAGTTTAGCAAAAAAAAGAATATAAGCTACGTTTCTCAAGGTTCTTCCCCTTGGTCCCATCGATTTGATTCAAAATGCATAGAATCAGAAACTTAGAACCGACTTTAAGGCTCACCATATAACTGTTTTCGTTTGTTCCCCACATGAGAATGGACGAGTGAGGGAGGAGTGTGATAACCCTTTTTTCTACTCGGCCTCGTCAAGAATCCGACGTTTCAGATTTGACTAACACTGACAGAACTCGCTCACGGCCCCAAGTTTTCCTGTTGCTCTCCCCTGTGTTCCCCTTTGTTTCCTTTTCTTTTGTCACCCGCCTACCATGGGGCAGCCCGTTTTCAAAATTCAACACAGAGGACTTAACCGTGGGCAAGTATCGCCTGTCACCGTACTGACCTAACAGTACGCCAAACGCGACCGTTCCACTGGCTCGTAGCTATAGCAAGGGGCCTATTTTCACCAGGACTGAAAGTGAGTTTGTTCAACAAGGTTTTATTTATAATCCAGCCAGTTCTCTTTTCTTTTTACAGGCGGTGTAACCAACAACAAGAAATGGGATGATTGGACCTAGTCAGTGAAGCTAATCAACCATAGCTTCGTAAAAAAAAATTAGTTGATCACGAGGAGAGGCATAAAGAAAGGGTGTCGAAGCCTTATCTTTTACCTTGGTCTTTGCCCATTGATCACATGTGATATTGACGAACC